TAGTAACATGTATATTTTTTCTGATTCATAAAATTCCAGCTCAATATATGGAATGATATTATCAGGATCCATACTAACACCAAGCAGTTTGCTCATTTTTTTATTAACAGCACAACCATCACATACTATGGCCTTACAGATAACTCCTGTTTCATTTATATTGAACAATGCAACTCTCACTAAATTAGCTAGGATATCTGAATTCATTTGTGAAACTAGAAAATAGGCTATTGGCATTTTCCAGCTGCTATTAAGACATGTAGCCATAAGAAACAGTGCCTTTGTTGCTTCTGGACAAGATTTATCTTCCTTTGTTGATTTTGTCCCATCACCTAAATCAACATAACCATGATATTCTGCTTTGTGGGGGTCATAATCTATTTGTGTTTTAATATGCATTTCATCAAGGCTAAGTACACAATATAACTGCTTTTCTGATTTTTTTTGGTAGCTTTTAATTTGGGTAAATGAAATAGAAAGGAAACCTTTATTTAATTTAATTTATTTTTTTTAAAATTATTATAATAAACCTGGCATGATTTCAATCTTGCTACTCCATGCCCTTAATGTGGATTCCGAAGGCATACAAAAGTGTGATTTGAGATATCTGTAAGCCTTAGGTGAATAAAAATGCATAGTCAATGCAAATTGACGGAATTCACTTGTATATATTTTTTTTTGTGGGTTTGAGATGCCTCCACTGTGTATATGTGTTTTAAGGAATATAGCAGATGTCCCTGTAAAGTGCCTGTCTATAATATTTTCGACATCATCTGATAACAAATTTTCATCTTTTAGTGAAGTGATTATTGTTTGTAAATTGATTATTTTATTTTTTCCTCTTTTTGAGCTCCTATAATAAGCATGTGCTCTTTTTTTTAAGCGTTTAATTATAGCCTCTTGGTAAATAATTTTTCTTTTTAATGTTTCATATGTCGCGGAATAATTATGATCATTTGTTATATGTATAATTGGATCTTTTTCATATAATATATCACTTTTTAATGGTGTTTGTATATTTGAATAAACATTCGTGATCTAAAAAGTATATATTTTAAAATATTGTTTTAACTATGTAATGATATTGTTAACATACATCATGAAGTGGCTTAGATATACTAAATATCGATGGAATAGAATCTTCCTTCAATAAAATCTTTCCAGATATAGTTTGAATGAAACAAGTATTTTTAAAATGCCTTCCACAAATAATACTATATTTATTAGGCATAAAATTTTTTCTATTTATAGCATGTAACCATTTTTCCAATAATTCTTTGGATTTTAATGGAAATCTATATTTAAAAATAGGTGAATAATAATGAGTAAAATATAAGATATATTTATGACATTGATACAAAGATAGATAGTATATAACAATCAATATTAATATCAGATCAGTTATTAGTAATATAGTATTGAATCAGTGAAAATTTGTTGATTGGCAGAGCCTCTATAATATATATATTTTAATATTTTTACAAATATTTAAAAATGAAACTGTATCATAGTAAATATGTATTTTAAAAATGGCTAACTTAATATTTTATCCAGAAAAATATTTAGGCAAAGTTCAAAATAGAAATCTTATCAACTCAAGAGGAAGAAGCATTATTTGTCCTAGCAGTAAAAATGAGAAAACTTTATATTTTTACTAAATAAGGATTTTTTTTCAATGTTTGTAGCTTATTAATGCTTTATGTAATAAATATGTTGCATATAAAAAATAATATATATACTTATGATAAGAAATATGTGTATTAGATTCCATTTTATTTGTTTTATTACAATTATGAACACAGCACACTCCCATTATCTAAATAAAATAATAAATGATAGTGATATTAAAAGATCTGTTTTGCATGTATCCTAAGATGCATTAACATAAGATTTATAAATCCGTGCAGAATTAAGTTAAACTATATTTTAAAAAATTAAAAGGTGGGTTAGTCTTAGATTCATTTTTTAAATATAATCACCTAGTCCACATTCATAAAAAAAGTCTTATGAAAATTTAAGAATAAAAGATACTATAAAATATTATATCATAAATCGAAACCTTTAAAACTAAATTATCGTAGTAGACTTGTTTTCTATATATTAATATTTCTTGCTGACAAATAATGGATAACCAAACTACAAAATGGCGCTACAGCTGATTACAATGTGTGGACACTTTTATAATGCATTGAATGAATGAATCGTCAATCTATAGTTATATATATCATTGTGGGAAACCCAGATTGAGGACATTTTATCTTCTGGTTTCGATGAGATGGCAATAGCCCCAATTTGGTTACTTTAACGAGTTTATTACATAAAGGGCAGTTAGATTTGGTAGAAGCTGTGCTGAGGTCTGATAAGCTCATGAATTAAAAATTTTTTATCAGTTTAAGAGTGAAAATGTTGGATATTATTTTTATCTTCAAATATGGGTTTCTTGTGGGTTGGTATATTAAGGAAGTTTAATGAGTTATTATTTTCTGTTGGCAATTATTTTATTTTTTGTAAAATATTCAGTTTCTCTTTCTGCTTTTATAGTAATATTAGCTTGCTTTAAAGGATTTGAATCAATAGTATAATTAGATAAGAGATTAAATGTCTTATCCTTTTCAAGTGTGAATATTGATTGTGTTTTGTGCATTTAAATAAAATGTTTGGATGACAATTTTATATTAGTCAACAGTTTTTGGTATAAATAAGGGTAAATTGTAAAGATTGGTAAGAATATTAGAATTGATAATGTAGAGTGTTTTGTTGGGAATAATATAAAAGAACTTGTTGGTTATTAATTGATGTATAATAATTGAGGATGATTGGTAATCTAAAAGTAAAGGAAATATTAAAGGAAAAAGTATTTACTTAAATTTTTTGTATCATTAATCTACATTTAAATTTTGATATATTGGAATTGTATAGAATTCATTGATGCAAAATTATGAAAGAGGACTGAATATTTTGGATGATAAAATCATTTTTATGTCAGGTTGTGGTATTGGCAGTGGTTGTAGTGTTGGCAGTGGTTGTAGTGTTGGCAGTGGTTGTAGTATTGGCAGTGGTTGTGGTGTTGGCAGTGGTTATAGTGTTGGCAGTGATTGTAGTGTTGGCAGTGGTTGTAGTGTTGGCAGTAGTTGTAGTTTTATTGTTAGATTAATCAGGCGTAGCTTTTATGATTTTTCTAAGCTTGCAATTTGTTTATTTTGAAATTGGATATCTTGCTGAGATCCACTTATTAAATTGTTAACATATTGCTGGATTTAATTTTATAAGGTTGGGTGGCAACATGATGATACAAAGGATATTGATTGTGTTTTGTACATTTAAATAAAATGTTTGGATGACAATTTTATATTAGTCAACAGTTTTTGGTATAAATAAGGGTAAATTGTAAAGATTGGTAAGAATGATAGAATTGATAATGTAGAGTGTTTTGTTGGGAATAATATAAAATAATTAAATTTTTTGTATCATTAATTTGGCTATCAAGGTACTGTAAAATGAACAGGTACTGTAAAAGGAATAGGTTCAAAATCATGATGTTAATCCATATGGTTGTTTATACAAAAAATATTTTATTTAGCAATATTTGTAATCACCTCTGCATAAATTTGAATTATACTTATATATATATATTGTCAACATATGTAATTATTATTTTTTTATAAAATAGTTTTAACTAACCCAAAAATATTTGTAATTATGATCATAATGTAACATAAATAAGGCGATGGAATAATAGGACATGAATCAGATTTCTTGGTATTATTATTTTCAATCATAATCCTCAGCAATTAAAAAAGAGTCTCATTACTCTCACAAACATCTTCCATGCATTTGAAAGAATTTACTAGAGTTTTGATTCAGAAGAGTAGAAGTCAGGCTTTTCATGTCATAAAAAATGTATGTAGTCGCAAAGTAAATATTTAAGGAATATAGTGTGCTTGAAAATGAAATTGTGAGTGATAGTAATTATATTTTTTTAACATATAAAATCAGCAGATATTTGATTTGATTTTGATAATTGAAATTTAAAATATAATTTTGAATTCGAGATTAAAATATTTTGTAAATTTATGAAAAGGAAATACCATATTATCATCATACAGGAATATTACTTTATCTATTTTATCTGTACCAAAAGGCCGAGGATAGGTGCAACCTAGTTGCAAATAAAATTGATGATATTGGCAACTAGTTGCAAATATAATTGATGATATTGACAATCTTTTTGATGGCCAATATAATTGATGATATTGACAATCTTTTTGATGGCCAATATAATCGCAGATAGGTGCAACCTAGTTGCAAATATAAATAATGATATTGACAATATTATATAAAAACTGATATATAGCAACTTTTAAAGTGTAAAAATGTTAAAAAATGACAACTTCCAATGTTGGTAAATTTAAAAAATGTTAAGCATATACCTACTTTTAAAATGAGTATGTGTGTATTTGGATCTAACTGAAATTGAGAAGAAATATACTCAAATGAATTCCTTATCCTGTTAAATTAATATCTAAAATTGTGTCATGTTTTAAAATAGACAGCTGATATTATTCTAATAAAAATATGTGATCCTTCACCTATAATTTAAAATTTTTCCTACTTTTATATTAATCTAATTGTTTCCATTTTTTTAGGTAAAATATTTTAAAATTTGACTTTAATAATAATAAATTAGAATTTAAAAAATTATATTTCAGTAAATTAAATGGATAAAATTATAAAAGAAGTTAAAAATACTGGAAATAATAATTAGGGGATTGTATAGGAAAAAATGTTATTAACCTCCAAAAAAAGCTATTTTTTGTTTTAATTCTAACATAACTTAAATAAAAAATGAGATAAAATCAAGTAAACGTATTTTATTAAAATAATTTTATTCAATAAAAACAATTTATTAACAACTATAATTCTAATACATAAATAATTACAATCATTTTATAATATAAAAGACGAATATAAATACATTTAAAACAATTATAACAAAACTAGTAAATATATTTAACAACAATTATTACAAAACCAATGAATTTTATAAGGTTTTTTCTTAATTTTTTGACATTTAAAGTGGAACCAGCACAAACAAATATCATGACAAATCCAGGACTCCGCTATAATCTTGACTTGTAAATCTTGAACCTGTATCCAAGCTTGATTGGTCAAATATGATTTTATCATTTGAAAATCGACTTCATCATTTTTTAAACATTGCATACTATTTTTTATGGTAAGAATGTCATCAAAATCAACCATTTCATTATTATAAATTTTATTCTTTGCAGACTCTTTATAAATTTTATCTATAATCCATCTTGCCTTGTTTTCTTCAGACAAAGTTGTATAAGGTTAGATAACTTTTCTGATAAAAATAAATATATTAATATTATTTTTTTAAAATTACTATAAGTTATCTGACGATTGCCCAAATTTTTGGGTTTTGTATCACCTAATTTTAAATATTAAAATATTTATATTTTTAAATATTAATAATAACCTGCATTTATTTTCTCATTGATTATGAAATTTATAAACTCCATTTGAGAATTGGTTATAATTGGTGTTCCTAGTTAAAATAATAATATAAATTATATTATGATATATACCTTTTCCTATGTCCTCAGCAAATTTAGGTATACTTTTAATACCAATTGCTTTTACTTTATCATTATAAATATCAAAATGTTTCTTTTTGCTTTTATTCCCTTTTTTAGATAATCCTATTACAGATAAATCAGACTTCCTCGGCTTGCCTTGTCTTTTCATCCGAGCTGGTAATTTCAGACTACGAATTTTTTCAAAATCTATATTTTCTTTGTCTTAATAGAAATTAGTATTTTTTTTACATAAGAAAATAACCATCAATAGCGTCTTGTTTTCTTTGTTCCTCTCTTTCTATAATCATGTCCAGATCTAATTAAAATATAAATATATATCAAAATATAATATATTAAATTACTTTCGAGTGCTTCAGATATTTTAATATTATTTGATTGATCTAAATCTATAATTAAATAATTTTATAAAATAATAACAGATTTTAGAATATATTTGATCAATCAGCCAATTAATGATGTAAATAGTCCAAATAACAGTTTTTTATTGTATTATTTTAAAATCCTTATTTTATTCCCTTGCCCCATAAAGTAAATTTAATATATTGACATTTTAACAATGGCTGATTTTACAAAATTGTAAAATTATGCTAATCCAAAGTTTAATATTACCATCATCTTGTAGACATGAAGGCATGAAAATAGTTTTTTCTATTTCATTATTGATAATGATATCTTCAGGATCTAAAAAATAAAAATGTTATAGTAGTGCAAAGATGAGGAATATAAAAACATTATTTTTATTAAAAATATACAATTACTTTGTAAGCTAGGAGATAACAAAACACTGGCTATATTCTCATGCACTTCTTTATAGAAAATTGATATTTATATTAAGATATTATATTATTACCATCATTATCTTCTAGGGAAGAAACAGAAACAACATCTCCCAGTACATCTTTGTCATTGGGATCTGATTATTATTATTTTAAAAAAATATAATATAAATTAAGTTTACTATTAATCAGAGAATGAATATCTATGCTTTCATCTGATGGTATGAGGAAGAATAATTTTCCATCACTAAAACAATCATCCATTTTTTCAACTTGGTCAAATACAAAGTCAAAATTGTCTTGGGGTAGATTAGATATATAAGCAGCTTTTGGTACAAATGATTTTAAGATCTTGTTATATTTTTGCTGCTGTGATAATTTTTTTTTGTATTCATACATACTAACGATGTAATTGATATGTCTGTAGTATACGTTTGAGGTTGTTCAAGACTGCATTTCTTTGAATAATTCCTAGTCCATCTCACATTACAAAGTTCAGGATAGTATTTATCCATATTATATGCAGCCCTTAATGCCATTAGATGGCGGCATGGTAAAAGCATTGTGGTAAGATAACCACAAGAGCACTTATCCATAGATACATTGTAAATATTACCTAAATCATTGATTTTTATGGCTGTGAACATGTCATTGGCTAATACCGGTATGCTGATTGAATTACTAAGATTTATTTCATTGAGTATATTTTTAAAGGCATAGGTCAGCAAATTTCTATATTTGCTCTCAGCTGATAAAAGACTATAAGGAAATAATGAGCTTTTTTCATTGCTCATAATGCTTCTATAATCTTTTTCAAATGCCATTGAGTTAACTATAGAAATTACATCCTTAAATAGCCCTTTGAGGGTTGAAAATTTTGTTATTACCGCTTTGAACTTTTGATTCATTGACTCAACTCGGTTATTTGTCGAGTTAAAAAAATGTGGAACACATGATCTTAGCCCAATAACCCACTCGTTTTTTATATTATGCCAATTATTATTATAATATGCCATAACTTTTGGAAGATTTAAATTCACAAGTTTTAAATAAAGTAAATCATAATGCTCCTGTGATTGAGCATATACTAAACTCTGTAGAATATCAAGAACCAGCTTTACATCTTGCTCTGCTATATCACGCTTACCAGTACTGATCTCTCGTTTAAAACTTCGCATAACATGGAAAATACAAATGTGTATTTCTGCCTTTGGAAAACTTTCATACAACGCCTGCCTGTCTGCAAAATCTTTGTCTCCTATTATCACTTGAATATTATCTTTGATATTATATCTCCCAAAAATATCACACATTGTTTTTACACATTTGTATGTTTCTCCTTTAACTAACCACAAAGCTGCTATTTGTGATTGACCATCTCCATCAATTACCATTAAGATAAATAAAGGCATGCCAAGATTATTCAGTTTATAGGTTGCATCTATAAACAGGACCTCGGGATAGCATTTTACAAAATGTCGCATAGCTATGTCCTGATAAAAGATGCCCATCAGCTCATTGTTTTCTTCGTGAATTTCTACAATGGCATCTTTGTCCTCTCTTAATTGATTGACCACATCGATCAACATGTTGGTAGATGGTTTGTTTAGGTTTGCTGAAAGATTGTGAATGTCTCTCAGCATCACCATTTGTCCTGTCTTCAGAATATAATCCTGAATTTTAACTTTGTTTGCCTTGAAGGTTAGAGCTTGCTCGACAATTTGTTTTTTGATTGGAGACAACTTTCTTTGTTTGGGTAGGAGCATATATATGTTTTTATCTAGATAATATAAAATATTAATATTAAAATATAATATAATATTTTTCCTACTTAGATCATGATTTTTATGTTCTTCCATAAATTTCACGATGACTAAATGAGGCCCAACGATAGGATCTAACTTGTATATAACCGTAAAGTTGAATGTACACTCTTTACGGAAGCTAGATGTCTTCCTTAATCCCGTTGAACGAGACCTCTTTTTCAAAGAATATTTACAGACATAAAATATTCTTTGATATTTAAATTGTTTAATTAACTCTATGCTACATGGATACTTCAACAGTTCTGATTTATATATGGATATATTTATTAGATTTTCCTTTTCATATATATCTATTGACTTTTTTAAAGTGTCAATAGAATTAAATGTTGCATTTAGATATAATGCCATTTATCTTTATAACAACTAAAAATTTTATAAATATTATAATTTAAATTTAATTTACCTGATTTCTGTTGAATTTATTTGCAACCTTGTATATAAAGCTTAATAAGGAGACCCAAATAGTATATATGGACAGCTAAAATTTGTGTTTTTTAAAAATATTATAATTAAAATTTATTTTCAAACCTTTTATATAAAGCTCAATAAGGACACACAAATAGTATATAAGGCAGAGACCTGCATAGGCACCACAGCCCGGCCCGGGTATATTTAAAAAAATTAAAATACGGCCTGACCCCTCTGATATAAGGACTGCTAAAATTTGTGTTTAGGTGAGATGATGATTATTTCTTAGATAGAGATCGACTGAAAGAGGGAGAAAATAATAATTATTTTTATAGTTTAATATTCTAGTATTATATAATTTATATTATAAAATTAGGTATTTCTAGCTTGCCAGGTTTAAAATCTAATGTACAACATGCAACTTGACCATTAGAATGCTATAAATTTTTTATTACTCCAAATATTACAAATCTAATAATAAAATACACAAATCAAAAAATTATAATTCAAAAATTCCCTCATCTTCCAAAATCAAAATTGATGCAACTCAATTAAATGCTTTGATAGGTTTATTATTGATTGCAGGTATACATAAATCCTATTATCAGAATTTAAGAGATCTATGGAGTAATGATGTTTAAAATATAGAAATTTAAATTTATTCATCATATTGCTAAAATTCATATCAGAGATATCTTTAATAATTTTAATGAAAACTGTAACAAGATTAATCAATTTTTTATAATTTGTTGACTATATCTTGCATAAATTCTAATAATTTAAAGGAGATTAATAGATCAAAGTTTATAAAATTATTAAAACCTATATCAACCAAACAAAAAGGAAGGTGCTCCTTTTGTCTAAGAGTTAAGGACAAGAAAACCCCATTTATTTGTTCAAAATTTATATGAATATATTATAATTAAAATTTATATATAATAAACCTGAAGTTTAATTTGTAATCTTGTAAATAAGTTAAATAAGGAGATCAAAATAGTTATGGACACTAAAATTTATATATTATAATTAAAATTTATATATAATAAACCTGAAGTTTAATTTGTAATCTTGTAAATAAGTTAAATAAGGAGATCAAAATAGTTATGGACACTAAAATTTATATATTATAATTAAAATTTATATATAATAAACCTGAAGTTTAATTTGTAATCTTGTAAATAAGTTAAATAAGGAGATCAAAATAGTTATGGACACTAAAATTTATATATTATAATTAAAATTTATATATAATAAACCTGAAGTTTAATTTGTAATCTTGTAAATAAGTTAAATAAGGAGATCAAAATAGTTATGGACACTAAAATTTATATATTATAATTAAAATTTATATATAATAAACCTGAAGTTTAATTTGTAATCTTGTAAATAAGTTAAATAAGGAGATCAAAATAGTTATGGACACTAAAATTTATATATTATAATTAAAATTTATATATAATAAACCTGAAGTTTAATTTGTAATCTTGTAAATAAGTTAAATAAGGAGATCAAAATAGTTATGGACACTAAAATTTATATATTATAATTAAAATTTATATATAATAAACCTGAAGTTTAATTTGTAATCTTGTAAATAAGTTAAATAAGGAGATCAAAATAGTTATGGACACTAAAATTTATATATTATAATTAAAATTTATATATAATAAACCTGAAGTTTAATTTGTAATCTTGTAAATAAGTTAAATAAGGAGATCAAAATAGTTATGGACACTAAAATTTATATATTATAATTAAAATTTATATATAATAAACCTGAAGTTTAATTTGTAATCTTGTAAATAAGTTAAATAAGGAGATCAAAATAGTTATGGACACTAAAATTTATATATTATAATTAAAATTTATATATAATAAACCTGAAGTTTAATTTGTAATCTTGTAAATAAGTTAAATAAGGAGATCAAAATAGTTATGGACACTAAAATTTATATATTATAATTAAAATTTATATATAATAAACCTGAAGTTTAATTTGTAATCTTGTAAATAAGTTAAATAAGGAGATCAAAATAGTTATGGACACTAAAATTTATATATTATAATTAAAATTTATATATAATAAACCTGAAGTTTAATTTGTAATCTTGTAAATAAGTTAAATAAGGAGATCAAAATAGTTATGGACACTAAAATTTATATATTATAATTAAAATTTATATATAATAAACCTGAAGTTTAATTTGTAATCTTGTAAATAAGTTAAATAAGGAGATCAAAATAGTTATGGACACTAAAATTTATATATTATAATTAAAATTTATATATAATAAACCTGAAGTTTAATTTGTAATCTTGTAAATAAGTTAAATAAGGAGATCAAAATAGTTATGGACACTAAAATTTATATATTATAATTAAAATTTATATATAATAAACCTGAAGTTTAATTGGACAATAAAAAAGGCGGGAAGGTTGCACGCATCCTTTGCGGTACCAAAATTATTTTAAATATCAATCTCTACTGTTTACATTTTAAATTTTTAGTTATTTTTTTTGAAAAATATATTTATAATGCATATTTTTAAATGTAAATTTAAATTCCAAAATAAAATAAAATTAAAAGATTTTGATTTTCGAATTAATTATAAAATTATTTTAATAATTTTTGCTATTTTTGCTATTTTTTTAGTAGCGAGCTACGCTATCGCTCTTTTTTTTAAAAAAAAATAGCACGTTAAACCTAACGATATAAAAAAAATAGATATAGAATAAAGCGCTATATTAAGAACACAGCTAATATTTCGAGTTCAGTGGAACGATAAAAAGATTTAAAAAATTGCTTTATCTTTATTCTCTTTTATTTTTAAAATTCTATCCAATCCGACATTTTGTTAATATGTTGAGGGCCTGGCTACTAAGAAAGCCCAAGACTTTTTATTAAGGTTAAAATTAATTTTATATTATAAAGGCCAACCCCAACCATTATTTTAAATTAAGATCTATCTATAATTTTATGTGAAGAGTCCAATTTACCAAATACCAACCCATTAAGAAACCAAGAGTGATACTATTATTTCAGTAGTAATTATCTTCTATTTGATAGTCATATCAATATTTTGAGTTGATGAGAAATTTCCTGAACCTTTAAGACCTAGAGCCCATTTTGAGTTTGATTATTAATATAATCAAAAGATATTTTAATTGCCTTTTATTTGATATCCATATTAAAATTTACACCTGCCCCTGCATCCTCGCTTCATGCCAAGTCATACATATCAAGGCCAAGATTTAATACATTCAGTTAAAAGATATTTGAATTAACTTTTATTTGGTAC